GTTTTTTTGTTACACACGTTTTTTTGTTACACACGTTTTTTTAATACACACGTTTTTTTGTTACACACATTTTTTTCTTACACACGTTTTTTGTTACACAGGTTTTTTTTGTTACACACGTTATTTTGTTGCACACATTTATTTGTTACACACATTTTTACACGCATTTTTTGTTACACAGGTTTTTTTGTTACACACGTTATTTTGTTGCACACATTTATTTGTTACACACATTTTTACACGCATTTTTTGTTACACAGGTTTTTTTGTTACACACGTTATTTTGTTGCACACATTTATTTGTTACACACATTTTACACGCATTTTTTGTTACAAGCGTTTTTTTCTTACACACATTTTTTTGTTACACACGTTTCTTTTGTTGCACACATTTATTTGTTACACACATTTTACATGCATTTTTTGTTACAAGCGTTTTTTTCTTACACACATTTTTTTGTTACACACGTTTCTTTTGTTGCACACATTTATTTGTTACACACATTTTTTAAACGTGTTTTTTTGTTTCACTCGTTTTATTTGTGACACGTTTTTTTCTTACACACTTTTTGTTACACACATTTTTTACATGTGTTTTTTTGTTACACACGTTTTATTTGTGCCACACATTTTTTTGTTACACACATTTTTTGTTACACACGTTTTTTGTTACACACGTTTCTTTTGTTACACACGTTTTTTGTTACACAGGGTTTTTTTGTTACACACGTTTTTCTTTTGTTGCACACGTTTTTTTTGTCACACACGTTTTTTGTTGCACACGTTTTTTTTGTCACACACGTTTTTTGTTACACACATTTTTTTTGTCACACACGTTTTTTGTTACACACATTTTTTTTGTTACACACGTTTTTTTGTTGTTGCACACATTTTTCTTTTGTTACACACGTTCTCAACGCGCCCATGTCTATCTTTTCCCTCCTTCTGCCCGTTCTCTGCTTCAGCTGGTGCTGAAGATGGCGGCACCCTCCTCCTCCTCACAACCTCTTCACATCATCTTCACTTTCACTTTCCTCTTCTCTTTAAGTCTTTCTCTCTCTCTCTCTCTCTCTTTCTTTTCTCTTGGAGATGACTGCAGATCTGTGAAGTCCTCGTCTTCAAACAGAACTCTGGTGCAGGTGGACAAACTCTCATTGCCGTTACAAACAGAGGCAGAACCTTTTGAATGGACCAGCTGCCACAGAGATTAAAACACATCTCCATTGTGAGGAGGTGTGTGTCTGTGTGTGTGTGTGTGTGTCTGTGTGTGTGTTTGGGGGGGTCATCAAAGAGAGCAATGTTTACAAGAGAACACTGAGTCCAGATTAAAGATGATGTTTGCCAGATTGGAGGAAAGCTCCGCCTCTTTACTCAGATTGTTTGGGCTTGTTGTGGCTGCCATGGTTACTGCTAATTACATCCTGATCAACTTCAGGCTCAGGCAGCAAAAACCTACAACTACTGTTCCTGTGATTAGTTCACAAACCTACACCTAATGTTCCTGTGATTAGTTCACAAACCTACAACTAATGTTCCTGTGATTAGTTCA